AACAATAATTATTTCATTTTACATACATACATACATACATACATACATACATACATACATACAGGTAAGATACCCATAACACTCCTCAGGATGTGTGTTCTGTTAAGATACAGCCTGATGTGCCTTAAAATGGCTTCTACTGTACAACACAGTGGAGTTGCCATGGTAATGGCTTCACAGTACTCCACAAGGGGACTCCTCTTGTAAGGCGGAAAATTCAACATTATAAATTATGTTTGGTCCAGACATTTTCCTCCTATAAATAAATACCCAGACAATGCCGAATTATTAGCTAGTAGTTTATCTTTTTAATGTTATATGTAATTCTCTTTCTTCTTAGTGTGTATTTAGGGTAGTGATTTCTTGAGTGCTGTAGTTAACATGTAAACATTAATCACACTTAATAATTCATTTTATTCCTGGATAACTATTTCCTTACAATAATCTATAACTCAGGTAATTTATTTTTATTTGACAGGAAACGTAAGAGTCCAGTTTTATTTGCTGAACTGTATCATCTTCCTTTGTAGTTAACTTTAAAATGTTTGCGCAGAGGCATTAATACACTGGAAGTTAATATTTTTGAATTTGCAGAAAAGTAAATCACTCTCGTTCTTTTTCAGTGCACAGCTAGGATTTTCTTGCTCACAAAAAATAATGTCCTACTTGCTGATCAGAAATCGGGGCAAATCAAGACAGAGGTTCCTTTGGGAGATGTCACTAAAGTATCCATGAGCTCTCAAAGTGATGGTTTCTTTGCTGTGCATCTCAAAGAGGTAGGAATAAAATAACATCAATAGTAATAAAGAACTGGCAACTACAATTTTACAGAGTAAGAGAACAGTATATCTTTCATGCATAGAAGAAGCCTTGATATATTTGAATTTTTTTTTCCAATACCTTGATGAATTGTCTATTCTAGGGCTCTGGAGCAGCTGGAAAGGGTGATTTCCTGTTCAGCAGTGATCATCTGATTGAAATGGCCACAAAGCTCTACCGCACGATGCTTAGCCAAACCAAGCAGAAGCTCAGCATTGAAATATCTGATGAGTATGTTTGGATTCGTCTAATTTAAATAGTTTCTATTAAAGATAGATAGATAGATAGATAGATAGATAGATAGATAGATAGATAGATAGATAGATAGATAGATAGATAGATAGATAGATAGATAGATACATAG